GAGTTCACGAGATACGATTATAGGAGTAAGTATAATAATTGTGATTCACGTTGTGTTTGAATGAATCAAATATTGAAGCTAAAAGTATGTTTATTTTGCAGATTTCACAGGTTAATTTTGAGACGAGTATACCAATTACTACTGGGGAAGGTATTTTCAATATGTATAATCACACTTTGTTTGCATATTTGCATATAACTTACATATTTGCACTAACTTGCATATGTTTACATAGGGCAAGTTGATATAGGTGATGTACACTACCTGATAAAGTTCGATCAGTTCCATAATTTACGGTTGATGGTTAACTTTGATAAGGATGATTCAAGCAGTCGAAGATTGAAGATTTTCAACCATTTTTTTTTGTAACAATGTCTTGTTATCGACTTCATTCTAATCTTGATGATTTGAACGTTATGAACAAACCTTTATTTTGGTTTGATTTGCTAAATTTGATTTAAACTTTAAAATTGATACAGATTGGTTGGATATAAAAATCTTGAATTTGATATTTATTTTTATTGCATCAATTAATTTTTTCTATAAATTATTTTTTTATTGCATTAGTAAAAAGCAATTTTTATTTGGCAATTTGGATTTTTTTTTTTTGAAAAAATCTTTAATTTGATATCTGAATTTTTATTGAAAAAACGATATTTGAAATGAAAAATAGATTTTATTACAATAATTTTTGAAAATAAAAAACGAAGTTTAGTTATTTTTCTATAACTATTTTGCAATTTTAAATATGACGTGGAATATTAGTTTTAAAATAAAAAAATTAATATGACGTGGAATATTAGTTTTAAAATAAAAAAATAATATGACATGGAATATTAGTTTAAAAAAAATTAATATGACGTGTAATATTAGTTTTAAAATAATAAATTAATATGACGTGAAATATTAATTTTAAAATAAAAAATTAATATGACGTGTAATATTAGTTTTAAAATAAAAAATTAATATGACGTGGAATATTAATTTTAAAATAAAAAATTAATATGACGTGAAATATTAATTTTAAAATAAAAAATTAATATGACGTGGAATATCTTAGTTGGCAAAATATATGGATGATGTCAGCATTAACAGGTCAACAGGTCAACCAGACCCTTAAATAAACAAAAAGTTTGATAGAGACCCCTAAATGACAATTTTGAAATTTGGTTCCCTAAAATAGAAATCAAGTGAAAGTTGGTTCTATTTTGGTGCAATTTTCCCTTTATGTTATCACTACTAGAAAGGAGGCTTTCAGCAATGAACGAGTTTCCCAAATCATTTAGTGATGGTTATTATACATGTCACTAATTCGTTGGTGATGTTACACAACAAATCAACCCACAACACACCAAAAATGCACACAATTACACCAACTCGTTGCTCAATCCCACCACCGTCCCCATTTCTCAAATCTGGAAGTATCATCATAGATTTGGAACCGCCATTGTCGCTCAAATCTGGAACCACCACCATCATCATGATAGATTCTAAGTAATTAGAATCTCTCAACGAAGCCAATTACTGTTCGGTTTGGAAGGCAAAAATATATCGTTTTGGGGGCGGTTTATGTTCAGACATATTTACATCGTGTAGAGAAAAACAAAATGAACAAGAAAATGTATTTTGAAGAAAAAATGGAACTCACTTAATAATGCCTAATGCTTCGGATTTAAATAAATTAAGGCCTGACATGAACTTGGGCTTGATATGTTACTTGAGCCTTCAAATGACATTACATATTAAATGTTAAAGGCCTTCAGGCTCTTGGGGTCCTATTTGGCCCAATGAGGGTTCACACATGATTAAAGTGGAATAAAGACTCGCTTTAGACACCAGAACTCGCACACGGTGGGTTTTAGGAAATAGAGACTACCGTGGGTTGTGAGTCCAATATCAATCAATCTTCATGTAAATTCTTCAAGAACAATGGCAAATCTGTATTTTCTATTAAGAACTTAGAAGGAGTAGAAAGAGAGAAAGTCAACTCATCAAATGTGGTCAAACTCTATATACAAATCATATATTACAAATGAGAATCCTTCCAAAAATACAAGGGACTCACCCTTTATATAGGGTCAAACAAGACACAAGGTCAAAGTCAAACTATCCTAAAGAAAAGTCAAACACGATGACTTTTATACAATTATATACAAAATTAACTTTCAAGACGAATACAATTTAATACTTAATTTCAGTCTTAACACAGGTTGTTAGGCGACTAAACACGTGATTAAAGTTGTACGAAGACTCGTTTTAGACACCAGAACTCACACGGTGGGTTTTAGGAAATAGAGACTACCGCAGGTTGTCAGGCACAACTCGCATGCGACACTGGAATGAACAAACAGAATTGGATGCGAGTATTCACGTGGGTTAAGTCACGCGAAAAGTCGCATCCATCTCTTGCAGTATATGACAGTTAAGACAAAAATGTATAAAACTCCGTTAATTTCTCACAGACTTCCCTCTGATTTTTTGGGTTTCCATCCCAAATTTTCTTCATTAAACATCGTTTAGTTCGCTAGATTCAAGTTAGAAACTTGAATTTGGTTGTTGTATTATCAGACAAACCCGTACACCATCGGCGAGTTTTTGTCTTAGGACACTACTACCATGCATGCCTCAATCAAGATCGATTTTTGTGAAGAATTTGTATCTACAAGTACTATTCTTAGGATTCTATCTTTTGTTATTGTTAATTTTATGTTCATACATATATTTTGTATAAGAATTTCTGTACAATTATTCTTAATTATATATACATATTTCTATTGGTGATTGATTACTCCTAACAATCTAAGACAAAAAAAAATTAAAAATTAAGTAGCGAGGTCAATCACAATTGATGAAGAATCACATGGAGAAACTCAATAAATTAAAGGGTTCTGATTTCTGGAGATGGCAACAATAGATGTCGTTCTACTTAACAACACTTCATGTTTCCAATGTGCACACTAAAGATCAACCACCGATTGAACCTTCTACAGGGAACGATGTAATTGCTCCTACGCACATGTCGTTGCCTACCAAAAAGCTGTCGATATATGAAGATCAAACCAATATAGTTGTAGAACTATATTCGAAATGCTCTCAGTGATTCTTTCTATGATATATAGTCCACATTCAAAACAACAAGGAAGATATGGGATTCTTGGAAGTGAAATATAATACCAAAGTGGCTTCCTCCAAGAGGTTCGTTGTATCGAAATTTCTGAATTTCCGGATGAATAGTAACAAATATGTGGTGAATAAGGTTGAAGAATTGTAGGTGCTTGTCCATGAGCTTGATATGGAACGCATGGGCTCGAATGTTGATTTTGTTGTCAGTTTGATCAGTAAGAAGTTGCCTCCCTCATTAGTCTACTAGACTTTATTTGATTTTATTGGCTTTAAAAGGTTCATTAGTCTTTATTCGGTTTTAATAGGTCATATTGGCTTGATCCGGTTTTATTGGGTTTTGATCCATTTTATTGGGTCTTAATCCATTTCATTGGGCTTTATTCAGTTTTACAGGGCCTTAATGGGCTATATTATTGGGTCTTAATCCATTTTATTGAACTTCATTCAGTTTTGGGCCTTAATGGGCTTTATTGAGCTTTATTTGGTTTTATTGGGCTTTTAATGGGCCTTATTGAGTTTTATTTGGTTTTATTGGGCCTTAATCTATTTTATCAGCTCTATTTAGTTTTATTAGGCCTTAGGCTTTATTCGGCCTTAATCCGTTTTATTGGGCTTTAGTCGATTAATTGGGCCTTAATGGGTTTTATTCGGTTTTATTGAGCCTTAAATGGTTTCATTGGGCTTTATTCGGTTTTATTGGACCTTAATCCATTTTGTTGGCTTTATTTGGTCTTATTGGGCCTTAATCTATTTTATTGGGCTTTATTTGGTTTTATTAGGCCTTAATGGGCTTTATTTGGTTTTATTGGGCCTTAATGAGATTTATTCGGTTTTTTTGGGCCTTAATCCATTTTATTGGGTCTTAATGGGATTTATTCGGTTTTATTAGGCTTTAGTGGGCTTTAAAAGATTTTATTAGTTTTATTGGGGCTTAATCTATTTTATTGGGCCTTAGTGGGTTTTTTTTCGATTTTATTGGACCTTAATCCGTTATTTTTATTTTATTAATTAATTTTTGTAATATAATAATAAATAATAAATAATTAATAGTTAATTAAATTTATAGTTATTAATCAAAAAAATAATTTAATAAATTAATCAATATTAGTTTAAATTTCTTGAGATTAGCGACGAAATTTCCCTCGAAAATCCATCGCTATTTTTCTAAATACTTAATCAAATCTAAGATAGAAAGATCGAGAGCGATAGATAACGAGAGATCGAGAGCGAGAGCAATATATAAGGAGAGATCGAGAGCGATAGAGAATGAGAGAAGGAGAGATCAAGAGATAGCCACCACCATCATCGACCGTTGTACCCTGCTGTACCCCCATTGTACCCTTGATACCACCTCCAACTCCCACCGCCACCACCTCCACCTCCGCCGGCCACCGTTCCAGGGTAGGGTAAAGTTCAATCAAATTCTTCTTATCACCTTTGTCGATTTCGACTTTTGGATCATCATCACAAGTGTTCTTAAGGGGTATAATTCTTCAAGTACATGTTTATTTGTTGATATCTTGAACACCATCAATTCCTCTTTTAAAGCAACAATTTAGTTTAAGTAAATGTTTATTACATTACTGTTAATCAAGTAGAAGATGCAGTAACCTCAATTTATTTTAATAAGCACATGATAAATGATACAGTAAATCAAAAGAATATATAAATGATAGAGAAGATGCAATGGTACCTTCAAAATTAGGGATGAGGATGGACATAGATTTGAGTTTGATTTGACCATTTAAATTTGATAATGTTGATCCCAGATCTCTCAATAACACGAATATTCAAGTTATGAATAACCTAAATATATCGTATGGATGGATAATAGTGAAGAACAACTTAAGAATATTCAAAGAATAATTGGAGCGTCAAATGATTCACTATTATTGATTTAATGAATTGGAAGCGTAAACGATTACAAGAGATATGAAGACTATTTATACTAGTAATCTATTTTAGGAGAAAACTATCCAAGGAAGATATCTAGAAAATCTTCTAAGAAAAGATAGTAATCTAGAATTATGGAAACAATATCAATCTATGTAAATCAATGAAAATCCAGCTGTCGATTTGTCATCTCCAGCTGTTTTATTAGAGGCGTGTTCAACAATGAGTCTTCGTGAGGCTTCTTGCAAGGATATCTCTGGTATACCTATTGTTGAAGACTCTAAGTGTTAGAGACCAAATTGGTTATGGAGATGCACTATTCATAGCACCTATGGACTTTCATCGCATCTCTGGTTAGTCTTGGACACTTAGGAATTCTTCAGGGTTTCCTTCCATCGA